TGGATTGAAATTGGTATCGGCCGGCGATTGCGTTGCCTTGACGACGGTGACACTTGAAGTTAGCTACGTAACCGCCGCATTAGAGTTGTTCAACACATTACGATAAAACAGGAGTAAAGCTTTGAAATGGTCAATCGTTTCAAAAACAAGACTAATAAATAAATACTACAAAAACGATTGATCAGCTGATTATTTGCAACGTTATTAATTAATTTTTCTGCAAGCAAATTATTTTAATCTTAAAATAACCTACACTATTGGCTGTATGTGACTATACCGTTGCCTACTATGAAAGCAAAGATTGCTGAAGCATTGCTGTCAGTTAGCGATGCCCTTAAAGAAATAGCTAGGAAGATGCCAGACCCTTGATTTTGTTTTTATATTATTATTGTATACTAATATTATTAGATATTATTTTACTAATGACGTAAATATACCTATATAGGAATTTGATTATCCTTATTTAACTGTGTATTCACTTTATACAACTATATACAACTTTAATAGGTAAACCTTGGTTTTACGAAGCAACTGATACTTTTTTTTAGTTTTACTCATTCCTATGGAATTTGCTCAAGTTGGCTCATTGCAACAAATAACAATAACCTCTAAAAATACAATTTATGAAAGATTGATATGGCAGAGTTGTGAAAATTTGTTATAATACTTTTTAAAATTGAAATGTCACTGTATACTTAAAATAAAATATACCATTATAGGCCAAAACATTTATATTGACATATATTTAATTAATACATAAAATCTTATTAGAAATAGCATAATAAACGCAGTATAAAATTATAAAAGAACGTCATATAAAATTTGCCTTAAAAACTAAAATCTTAACACGAGTTGTTAGAATTAAAAAATGTTAATCATTACATAGTTTTACAAAATAAGAATGCATAATAGTTGACTTTATTCATAATAATATTAACCTAGTAAAAAACATCTCCATTATTACTATTTAAATCAATTAAATGTTGTTTCACAGAACTTTGATTCCAAACAAAACTATCATGAGATGCTCCTCCAATGGATGCACCAACTGACAGTATTTTTAAATCTGCATCACATATCTGTAAATATAAATAAAAAGATAGAACTAAATTATACTCTAAATTGTTATTTAGTTGATAAAAATTTCATCAAAATAAGTGTTTACAATCATAACATTTCTAGAGTTTGCGATTAAAAAATCTTTCCTCATGTTCCCTAATTGTTGGTTTAATTATGGCCACATGAGTGCCATCAATACAACCTAATACTGATGGGATCCGGTATGTTTCATAAAACCTGAAACAAAGTATTGTTTAATATTATTATAGTAAAGCTATTACATACAAATTCAAATTACTTTTATTATAGTTATAAGCCTAATACATACAATAGACACTTAGGGAGTATTACATACTACATTTACATGCTTACAGCTAAGGTGTCTCAACTAAAATTACTTCCATATACTATATTTTAGGCTACTTTTAGCAACATTATACAGTATTCTAGATAAGTAGAACTTTTACAGTACCTTGTTTTAATAGCATCTCTTTCTTGGTGGGTTTGAGGAAACCTAATCCATTGTTTTTGAACATAATGGTGATTGAGAGCTGCTGTAACTTCTTTGATAGCACGATATACAGATTGCTGTGACATCAGAGTGCCATATGTGCCTCCAACCAGCCTTTGGTAAACCCAGTCGCAAGAAACGATAGTGCCGCTAGAATCTACAATTGAGATGAAAATATTAAGTTAATCTTCTCACAAAAAAATAAGTATGGACACCTTACAAGTTGTAATGTTGACATACCTTATATTTCGGTCATATATCACTTCTTCTCTTAGGAGTTGGCATTAAAGGCTTTATATTTTCAGGAATTGCCTGAAATAAATATTTGCTCACTCGGTAATTGGCTTTAAATTCTTCCTTACTTATAGAGAACGCCTTCTCCGTATATAGCATCATTCAACGCACATTTCGTCTCAGTTTTAACACATTTTTTTCTAGTTTTACGTAAAATATTGTACATTACTACTAAACGAGCCATATTATCCACTTATAGTTCAGTTAAAACCACATGAACCGTGAAACAATTTCAAAAAAGTTACACTTCGGCTATTGAGTAAATCCCGATCTCCAAACGATACGAACTCAATTTATCGCTGTCAAACAAGCTGTCAAAAAATTCAAGAGTACCGTTTGCGTGTGGCGATTGGTAATTTCGATTTCAGTTAGTTCTCCAAATCGTCACCCAATTTGATTTCAATTTGGCGCTAGTGTCGAATTCAAGAGTACGAAACTTCACAATTCCAATGTCGATCGATCGGAATCGAATTCAAGAGTAAGGCCCCAGGACTGTAAAGTAAATTGTAAAGTCAACTTATTTCAATTTCAATTCAACTTTTACAAAACAATTAACTTTTTATATGGCAAACTATGTTCATGTCCACAATTCGTGTAATTTCGTTTAAAAATATGACTTCATATGATTAAAATAAATGAATAAAAAAAACTCCTGGGCCAAAAGTGAGGACACTAAAGTTTAATAGATGTACATAAAATAATAATATATTGTAGATCATACTTTTAAATTTTGACTTGACATTGACATAATCAGTTCAGTATCGCCAACCTAGTGGATTTTCCACTAAAACTGGTGGTTTCGACTCCCTCTTTTAGTGGTGAATTTTATAGTGTTTAGTAATAATATTAAGATTGTAGATTACTTAGGAAATGCAGTTGAAAGAAGAATTGTGAGAACTATTTGTGTACGCATACCTCAAGAATGTTTGAAAGGAAAGGAAGAATGTGGATTGGATAGAAATTTTTAGGAAGGATTATTAGTTTTAGGCAATGGGATGATCTAGGCTTTGTGTCAGAGAGAAGAAAATGTCTCGGAGTTGAGAAAGAAGTCCAGGATGGTAACTATCATCCTACGACTTGCAAACCATTGCGTTACAACAGACACACAGGATGATCTTTTTAATATCCCAAAAAGGCACAGGCGAAAATTCTAAGTTAAAAGTGTTGGGTCTGAGCAGACTAGCGATATAATTCAGGATCTGACTCTATGTTTAATGACCCGGTTGAGTATCAGAAAAGAAATTAAGATTGATATCATTCAAACCAATGAAACTCGGTCCATTGCTCTCCAGCAATGTCCTACGTGTTAAGGAACTTCCACATACTAGAGGTATTGCTCTTCAAAGATGCCCAAGGGGCCAAGGGACTTCGACATTTGAGCAATAAGCGACCTTTGGTATAACTCTCTTACTGCTGCCTCATTTCAATGCCGATGTTGAGTTGAGAGACTATAGATATAAACAGAGGAATAGAATGAAGTTAAATCTTTTATCTGCTATGTTAAGAATATGCTGTGGTTTGAAATTGGAAGGAGAATGCTATAACAAATATGATTAAAGATGACGTAATTACTAAAAAAAAAATTTAGTGCCTAAAATTAGATAGAGAATTGTCGATTTGCGTTAGTGGTTTTCTGGTGGCTTGGATGTTGAATGTGGTGGAGAGTTCATTTAACTGTTGGCAACACTGAATTAGTCTGTCACGTCATGCCATAATATTATAACCTCAATTCGGCTCTTCTACTGTTTACTATAATACTCAATAATTTCTGCTAATAAAATTGCGATTTCTGTTAATTATTTTTGTGCTAGTGTCATCGTACAGAGTTTTTAATGAGCTCTAAATACTATTATCTGGATATCGAGTGAGTATGATTTTTAGTCATTAGGTGGGACAGTTTTTAATACATTGCGTAATATAAGGTTTTATTGTTGCTTGAAGGATAAACGTAATATTTATAACACTTAACTTGCCACCAGAACCAGCACTGAGTTAAGCGCGCTCACGGTTCGTAGGAGCATTGAGGTAGCAGCCAAAAGCATTTTTGGCGAGTGCGGTGCCGCCGAACTAAACGTGGACGTTCTTCGTAGTGAAGGTCGCCGCGCCCTGCTTCGTGTTCACGAGGAGAAGCTGAGAAAACTTTGGGCTGCCCTCACCTTGGCGGCCTCAGAGCTGCGTGTCCTCAAACACTCACCATCACTACAAGCCTTGATCTAATACATTGGTATGTCTATGCTCTTTATGTCACCATAAGGCCTGAGTAAACCCGTGTCTATGATGAAAAAGTCTCCTAATTTATTTCTAATATTGTATATTATATTCAGTTTATTCAATGACAGGTTGGTATCTTATATTGGCTTTTCACAATTATAAGCTATTGAATTTCAATAATATGTTTTTGGCAACATAATAATTAAATATCCATTAAATGTACCCAAATAGAGCATTTAAGAATATATTTGAAGATCACTACCTACATTCATAAGTACTTGCTTGCTTTTATCTATTGTTGACTTGTTCATCCAATTACCTGGAAGAGATTGCTATTAGCAATAAGGCCACCCATGATACCTATCAGTTTGTAACACACGTGTATCTTATTGTAATTGTTGTACGATCAAGCATATTCTATCTGTATAATTTGCATTTGTTAACAATTAGATATTGAAATGTTAAGGTTTAGATAGGAACCTTTTTTATTATTTGATTATAATTGTATATAAACATATGTTCGACATACATAGTATCAAAAATCAATGTTTTGGTAATAACTGGCACAGGATGTGGATCATACTTTCTTATTTAAATAGTTTATGAAAGTGAACATCAAATAGATGTTATTTCTCCTGTAACAGTTATCTTTTATTGAAATACTTGCTTCCATGTATCTCTACAAAATGATAAAGTTTCTTGTGCAAACAGAGTTGGTGCTTCATATTTCAGTATAATCATGACATCATATAAAAAAGTACAGCAAATGTAATCATCAACAGCCTCCTATAAATAAGAAAAATATATATAAAAAAATATTAAAATGTAAAATGGTAAATGTCATATTATTATATCATGTAAAACAATAAAAATTACCAACAGAGTCCATATTTTCTAAGATTTGTATTATTATAACTTTACAGACATGGAGACTCGATCAGTGCTGTCATCTGGGTTGGGCGGTAAGGACATGGTGATAATTGCTTCACGAGAGGAACTAGCCCTACCGAGCAAGGTGGTCCTCCCTGAGCCAGAGCCTGCGCCAGGATTGATCATGCCTGATGGCTCAATCAACTGGGGCTGCCCCTGCCTTGGAGGCATGGCCACCGGCCCATGTGGGACTCAGTTCCGAGAGGCATTCTCATGCTTCCATTACAGGTACAATTTTCAAGTTTAAATATTATAATTTTTAAATATTATAATTTTTTAAATATTATATTTTGATTTTGCACAGTAATTACATTTCATTCATGTTATCAGTAAACATTTTATAATATACTTACCTATTTTTTTCACATATTCAGATGAGCAAACTATGGCCTAGTAACATGTACTTATAATTATAATGTTGTTCATAATTCATTTTGGTTTGGTAACATACAGGATATAAAGGAGAATGAATTAATGATTTCACTTTTAGACATTCGCGTCGTTATTTCAATTGTTAAAAAAAAATAATTAATGTGACTTTTCGACCCTGAATCCCCTCTATAGAACTTAGGGTTTGAAATTAAATCTTCAAAGACGAAAACTTGAATCAATGACCGTTTCCATTTTAAATTAAATGTTGTCGATATAAAATAAACCATTAATGGTTGAATTCAAATAAACATATAAAGTGTTTAAATATAATAATACACGTGATAATAATTCGTAATGTCAGTTTAGTATTATTAATGTTTCGTGATGTAGTCGTAGTTTATTTAGTGAATGTATACTTCTGTGTTAGTTTTGGCTTGATTTATACCTGATGTCCCTGTCAAAAACAAATTGCCACACACATTTTAAAAAATAACTCTAACGTCAGTGACACAATATTTTCTCGTTGCTAATATTTTCACATTTAATTTCTCAATAACCACAACTTCTATTACAATATAACGTTAATATTTCAGATAATACTTTATTGCATGGTTAATAATGCGCATAAACTGCTTTATTAAGCTTGCATTGAGTATTATCTGAAACATTAACGTATATTGTAATATATTTGCCATAGCAAAAAAAGTGTGAAACTGATTCTCATGCTGTAATTCTCCTTTTATAAAAAACTTAACACAAAAAGACATTTCTTAGTTTTCCATGGATTCACCATCTCGTGACAAACGGGGGCAACACATGCGACTGCGAAAGCGCTGAGGACTTGCCACCCAAAAGTAGGTTTAGCGAGTACTTCTTGCGACGCGTTAGCGGTCACCTTTACTGTCTGCTTTGTTACCCCCCTGTACCTAACAATATTTAATACGAGCCTAACAATGCCGCTTTGGATATTCGTTCAAGAAAAGAATATACTGAAGCCAAGGAATCCAAGGTCTTTAAGTAGGTTATAGAGGGATTAAGCTGGTATACCGGTCGCACCCACTTCCATGGCATACAATGCAACAAAATTGACATTTCTAGTTATTTCGTTGTTTGAGTCAAAGTACTTACGTACGTACTAAGGGTGTGAGGGGCGAACAACCATCATTCGCCTTTTTTTTTACGTGTGGAAACCCCCCTCGGGCCGTCACCCGACCTGGGTTTGCGGCGGGGTGATGTGTCGGACTCGGACCGACTAAAACCACACGGTGTGCCACTCTGCGCCTGTAATAGGAGGGATCCGGGAACAGCTGTTATTAAGACATCCGGACCCCTCCTAGCGCCTGCCTGCAATTGTGCAGGCACCACCTTCGGGTACATTCTCTATTTACCCTATTACTTCCTCACGGCTGGCCATTATGGTGGGTGCTGGGGAAAACCCGTCCCGTCCACACGCAGCCACACTGAGGGGGGCATGAGGCGCTGGTAAGTCGTCCTCCTCCCGGGCCCTCTCCACCGCCTCGAAGCATGCGACCGCGGTAATACATCGGTCACTATCGGCCATGGAGCGTATGACGGCCGGTAGCGAGAGATCCCCCCCGATAACTGCAATGAGGACCCGGCGCTGCGGCGCCCAAGCAGGACAAATTGCCAGCGTGTGCTGAGCCGAGTCCTCACTGCCATCGCAGTGGTGACAGGTGGAACTCAGTTTCCTCCTAGCGACCGAGTGCAGGTACTTTCCGAAGCAGCCGTGCCCGAAAAGGACCTGCGTATCCGGAAGGAAAGGGTCCCGTGCTGTCGCCCTGCCCACTCGACGATGACCGGCTGGAGCGCCTCCGCGGCGGCAAAGCCAAGCACGTGGAGTCTCCAGCCGGGACGACCAACGAGCCATCATGGCTCGGCGAGCGGCCTCACACCGCTCGCGTACTTCTTCGGGTGGTTGCCGAAACCCGCTACCCGCCCGGAACTCAGCCGTCCGCCGAGCACTTCCGCCTCCAAATCCCATGGGGGTGTTCCGGCCAACGCGCACGCCGCTTCCATCGATATAGTGCGGTAACTGCGTATGGCTCTAACCGCCAATATCCTCTAAGGGCGCCAGAGGATTGCCCTATTCCGCCCACACCGGTGCACCGTACAGTGCCATTGACCGGACAACCCCCGTGTACAGCCGTCTTGTCGTGGCGTTAGCAGTCAGTATCGCTTACCGCTAGTCCAACAGGCCCGTCGGGAACAAGCTCTGCCGAACTGACGGTTTTAGGAAAAATAAAATAAAAGTTTAAAAGATTTTGTAATTTTACGTGGGAAAAAGGGGGTTTTTTTTTTGGGGGGAAAAAAAAAGTTGAAAGGGAAAAAAAAAAATTGTGAAAACTATTTGTGTCCCAAAACCTCAAAAATTTTAAAAGGGAAAAGGAAAAATGTGGATTGGGATAAAAATTTTTAGGAAGGATTATTAGTTTAGTGGGATGATCTAGGCTTTGTGTCAGAGAGAAGAAAATGTCTCGGAGTTGAGAAAGAAGTCCAGGATGGTAACTATCATCCTACGACTTGCAAACCATTGCGTTACAACAGACACACAGAATGATCTTTTTAATATCCCAAAAAGGCACAGGCGAAAATTCTAAGTTAAAAGTGTTGGGTCTGAGCAGATTAGCGATATAATTCAGGATCTGACTCTATGTTTAATGACCCGGTTGGGTATCAGAAAAGAAATTAAGATTGATATCATTCAAACCAATGAAACTCGGTCCATCGCTCTCCAGCAATGCCCTACGTGTTAAGGAACTTTCACATACTAGAGGTATTGCTCTTCAAAGATGCCCAAGGGGCCAAGAGACTTCGACATTTAAGCAATAAGCGACCTTTGGTATAACTCTCTTACTACTGCCTCATTTCAATGCTGATGTTGAGTTGAGAGACTATAGATATAAACAGAGGAATAGAATGAAGATAAATCTTTTATCTGCTATGTCTTAACATAGCAGATAAAAGATTTAACTTCATTCTTAAATATGCTGTGGTTTGAAATTGGAAGGAGAATGCTATAACAAATATGATTAAAGATGACGTAATTACTAAAAAAAAAATTTAGTGCCTAAAATTAGATGGAGAAGGGTCGATTTGCGTTAGTGGTTTTCTGGTGGATTGGATGTTGAATTTGGTGGAGAGTTCATTTAACTGTTGGCAACACTGAATTAGTCTGTCACGTCATGCCATAATATTATAACCTCAATTCGGCTCTTCTACTGTTTACTATAATACTCAATAATTTCTGCTAATAAAATTGCGATTTCTGTTAATTATTTTTGTGCTAGTGTCATCGTACAGAGTTTTTAATGAGCTCTCAATACTATTATCTGGATATCGAGTGAGTATGATTTTTAGTCATTAGGTGGGACAGTTTTTAATACATTGCGTAATATAAGGTTTTATTGTTGCTTGAAGGATAAACGTAATATTTATAACAGTTAACTTGCCACCAGAACCAGCACTGAGTTAAACGCGCTCACGGTTCGTAGGAGCATTGAGGTAGCAGCCAAAAGCATTTTTGGCGAGTGCGGTGCCGCCGAACTAAACGTGGACGTTCTTCGTAGTGAAGGTCGCCGCGCCCTGCTTCGTGTTCACGAGGAGAAGCTGAGAAAACTTTGGGCTGCCCTCACCTTGGCGGCCTCCGAGCTGCGTGTCCTCAAACACTCACCATCACTACAAGCCTTGATCTAATACATTGGTATGTCTATGCTCTTTATGTCACCAAAAGGCCCAAGTAAACCCGTGTCTATGATCAAAAAGTCTCCTAATTTATTTCTAATGTCGTATATTATATTCAGTTTATTCAATGACAGGTTGGTATCTTATATTGGCTTTTCTCAATTATAAGCTATTGGATTTCAATAATATGTTTTTGGCAACATAATAATTAAATATCCATTAAATGTACCCAAATAGAGCATTTAAGAATATATTTGAAAATCACTACCTACATTCATAAGTACTTGCTTGCTTTTATCTATTGTTGACTTGTTCATCCAATTACCTGTAGGAGATTGCTATTAGCAATAAGGCCACCCGTGGTACCTATCTGTTTGTAACACACGTGTATCTTATTGTAATTGTTGTACGATCAAGCATATTCTATCTGTATAATTTGCATTTGTTAACAATTAAATATTGAAATGTTAAGGTTTAGATAGGAACCTTTTTTATTATTTGATTATAATTTTATATAAACATATGTTCGACATACATAGTATCAAAAATAAATGTTTTGGTAATAACTGGCACAGGATGTGGATCATACTTTCTCATTTAAATAGTTTATGAAAGTGAACATCAAATAGATGTTATTTCTCATGTAACAGTTATCTTTTATTGAAATACTTGCTTCCATGTATCTCTACAAAATGATAAAGTTTCTTGTGCAAACAGAGTTGGTGGTTCATATTTCAGTAAAATCATGACATCATATAAAAAAGTACAGCAAATGTAATCATCAACAGCCTCCTATAAATAAGAAAAATATATATAAAAAAATATTAAAATGTAAAATGGTAAATGTCATATTATTATATCATGTAAAACAATAAAAATTACCAACAGAGTCCATATTTTCTAAGATTTGTATTATTATAACTTTACAGACATGGAGACTCGATCAGTGCTGTCATCTGGGTTGGGCGGTAAGGACATGGTGATAATTGCTTCACGAGAGGAACTAGCCCTACCGAGCAAGGTGGTCCTCCCTGAGCCAGAGCCTGTGCCAGGATTGATCATGCCTGATGGCTCAATCAACTGGGGCTGCCCCTGCCTTGGAGGCATGGCCACCGGCCCATGTGGGACTCAGTTCCGAGAGGCATTCTCATGCTTCCATTACAGGTACAATTTTCAAGTTTAAATATTATTATATATTTAATTAATTTTGATTTTGCAAAGTAATTACATTTCATTCATGTTATCAGTAAACATTTTATAATATACTTAGCTATTTTTTTCACATATTCAGATGAGCAAACTATGGCCTAGCAACATGTACTTATAATTATAATGTTGTTCATAATTCTTTTTGGTTTGGTAACATACAGGATATAAAAGGAGAATGAATTAATGGTTTCACTTTTAGACATTTGCGTCGTTATTTCAATTGTTAAAAAATAAAAATAAATGTGACTTTTCGACCCTGAATCCCCTCTATAGAACTTAGGGTTTGAAATTAAATCTTCAAAGACTAAAACTTGAATCAATGACCGTTTCCATTTTAAATTAAATGTTGTCGTTATAAAATAAACCATTAATGGTTGAATGCAAATAAACATTGTTTTAAAGTGTTTAAATATAATAATACACGTGATAATAATTCGTAATGGCAGTTTAGTATTATTAATGTTTCGTGATGTAGTCGTAGTTTATTTAGTGAATGTATACCTCTGTGTTAGTTTTGGCTTGATTAATAAATGATGTCCCTGTCAAAAACAAATTGCCACACACATTTTAAAAAATAACTAACGCCAGTGACACAATATTTTCTCGTTGCTAATATTTTTACATTTAATTTCTCAATAACCACAAGTTCTATTACAATATACGTTAATATTTCAGATAATACTTTATTGCAAGCTTAATAATGCGCATAAACTGCATTATTAAGCTTGCATTGAGTATTATCTGAAACATTAACGTATATTGTAATATATTTGCCATAGCAAAAAAAGTGTGAAACTGATTCTCATACTGTAATTCTCCTTTCATAAAAAACTTAACACAAAAATACTTATTTCTTAGTTTTCCATGGATTCACCATCTCGTGATAGACGGGGGCAACACATGCGACTGCGAAAGCGCTGAGGACTTGCCACCCAAAAGTAGGTTTCGTCAAGAAAAGACGCGTCAGCGGTCACCTTTACTGTCTGCTTTGTTACGCCCCTGTACCTAACAATATTTAATACGAGCCTAACAATGCCGCTTTGGATATTCGTTCAAGAAAATAATATACTGAAGCCAAGGAATCCAAGGTCTTTAAGTAGGTTATAGAGGGATTAAGCTGGTATACCGTTCGCACCCACTTCCATGGCATACAACGCAACAAAATTGACATTTCTAGTTATTTCGTTGTTTGAGTCAAAGTACTTACGTACGTACTAAGGGTGTGAGGGGCGAACAACCATCATTCGCCTTTTTTTTTACGTGTGGAAACCCCCCCTCGGGCCGTCACCCGACCTGGGTTTGCGGCGGGGTGGTGTGTCGGACTCGGACCGACTAAAACCACACGGTGTGCCACTCTGCGCCTGTAACAGGAGGGATCCGGGAACAGCTGTTATTAAGACATCCGGACCCCTCCTAGCGCCTGCCTGCAATTGTGCAGGCACCACCTTCGGGTACATTCTCTATTTACCCTATTACTTCCTCACGGCTGGCCATTATGGTGGGTGCAGGGGAAAACCCGTCCCGTCCACACGCAGCCACACTGAGGGGGGCATGAGGCGCTGGTAAGTCGTCCTCCTCCCGGGCCCTCTCCACCGCCTCGAAGCATGCGACCGCGTTAAAACATCGGTCACTATCGGCCATGGAGCGTATGACGGCCCGGTAGCGAGAGATCCCCCCCGATAACTGCAATGAGGACCCGGCGCTGCGGCGCCCAAGCAGGACAAATTGCCAGCGTGTGCTGAGCCGAGTCCTCACTGCCATCGCAGTGGTGACAGGTGGAACTCAGTTTCCTCCTAGCGACCGAGTGCAGGTACTTTCCGAAGCAGCCGTGCCCGGAAAGGACCTGCGTATCCGGAAGGAAAGGGTCCCGTGCTGTCGCCCTGCCCACTCGACGATGACCGGCTGGAGCGCCTCCGCGGCGGCAAAGCCAAGCACGTGGAGCCTCCAGCCGGGACGACCAACGAGCTTCTTCGGGTGGTTGCCGAAACCCGCTACCCGCCCGGAACTCAGCCGTCTGCCGAGCACTTCCGCCTCCAAATCCCATGGGGGTGTACCGGCCAACGCGCACGCCGCTTCCATCGATATAGTGCGGTAACTGCGTATGGCTCTAACCGCCAATATCCTCTGAGGGCGCCAGAGGATTGCCCTATTCCGCCCACACCGGTGCACCGTACAGTGCCATTGACCGGACAACCCCCGTGTACAGCCGTCTTGTCGTGGCGTTAGCAGTCAGTATCGCTTACCGCTAGTCCAACAGGCCCGTCGGTAACATTCTCGGTACTCTCCAGGCACAAGCTCTGCCGAACTGACGGTTAACAACAATGTGTTTTTTTTCATCGTAGCGATGCAGAGCCGAAGGGAAGTGACTGCTACGAAAAGTTTAGCGTAATGCAGGACTGTATGGCCAATTACCCTGAGCTGTACGGACGAGACGAAGACGACGAGCTCGCCGCTGCAATGGATGCCTCGAGCGGCGCTGGCGACAGGCCTGACGCCCCCGGTGACAGGGCTGACGCGCCCGCTGACAGGCCCGACGCGCCCGCTGACAGGCCCGACGCGCCCGACCGACCCGCCGGCGATGTAGCCTCGGTTCTACAAAAATAATTGTCATCTACTAAAATCGTTCTAATATAAGTAATAGACAGCTCAAAACTATTTCGGTAGTGCTTAGACTTTAATTTTACAGTATGTTATTAAAACTTGCATGTGTGCAGGTTTTTGTTGCACTGCAAGCGCGTCATTGTTCCATGAGCGATTTATAGAAGTGAACGTGATTGTGACCAGTGTGAGTGTGACGTCACAGTGAGCGTTGTTTTGTTTGTGACGGCGCCACTTTACAGTGCATTACAGTATCGTGTTTGTGTTTGAAGTCGTTTGCTTTGTATGGTGTACATGCAATACATTAAATCCTAGGTACCTATTCACTTATTGTTTTATTCTATCGTTTATTAAACATTCATGATGTTAACAATGATATTGTAAAACGCTTTAACGAATGCTTTAATGGCGATGGTTTGAACCATCATCACCGCCGCCTCGCCTCTATGTAATTGAGGTATATAACACCTGTTATATACCTCAATTACATTGAAACTGAGTCAATTACCCGAGTCACATTGAATTAGACATATCAATTATATAATATACATTACACAATTCATACACTTAAACCTGATAACATTTATAAAATCAATAACTTAAACACAACAATCGAATACAACTAATATAAATTTAACATCAATGAAATTAATAAATTATACACGGTGATTTTTTAAGCGTTTTGGAAAAGAAAATTTTGAATTATTTATCAGTAACAGAAGCTATTTAAACGTTAATTTAATAAAATATAGTTATAAATCTATTTCGAAATACTAAAAAAAGAGAATGTATGCTTGTACACAATTTAATAATACCCACTTAACAATAATCAAGTCAAGCAACAAATATTGACAATACGCAATCCCAGCACGTCCGTCTAGCTCTGGTGTCGCCGCAAGAGAGCCCTCATCGCGTTCGCACGACCCACCTCTCCAATCCTTCCCTCACTCCAAGCGGCAAGTGACGTCATTAAGCCACGCCCAATAAAAATAAGTGTTGCCAATTATTTCCGCTTATTCGGCTTCTCCTGACAGCGGTGCGCCCTCGCCCGCCTGAACTGAGAGAAGGTTCTGCTGAGGGCCGTCATCCACATGGGATGACTAAACAGGAACACGTACGTCCGCGTCAACTTGGCGCTCAGTTTCTACCTCCGCGTCCTCCTCATCGTTGTCATCTAAAGGAAGCATAAAACATTGTTCGCATTAGTCTTGTAGCCGTCGTTCGGGAGGCTGCTCTTAGGAACAGTGTCAAAAATATCTTCCATTATCGCAGAGCCCGCGGGATGCGATATCAGCAAGCAGAGCCCTCAGGGTGCTTGAAACCAGTACAGAGCCCTCAGGATATACACAGAGAAGTACCATTAAGGATGTTCTCAATAATCGCAGAGCCCTCAGGATGCGATACCAGCAAGCAGAGCCCTCAGGATGCTTGAGAAAGTACAGAGCCCTCAGGATGTACACAGAGAAGTACCATTAAGGATGTTCTCCATAATCGCAGAGCCCTCAGGATGCGATACCAGCAAGCAGAGCCCTCAGGATGCTTGAGAAAGTACAGAGCCCTCAGGATGTACACAGAGAAGTACCATTAAGGATGTTCTCCATAATCGCAGAGCCCTCAGGATGCGATACCAGCAAGCAGAGCCCTCAGGATGCTTGAAAAAGTACAGAGCCCTCAGGATGTACACAGAGAAGTACCATTAAGGATGTTCTCCATAATCGCAGAGCCCTCAGGATGCGATACCAGCAAGCAGAGCCCTCAGGATGCTTGAAACAAGTACATAAATATAACGGTCACATTATGCATTTCATAAATAAAGGATGTTGAGCACAAGTAGCTTACGTTCAAAGAAAGCGGTACATACGTCGGGGGTCCATTCCCCGCGCCAAAGTGTTATGTATTCTGCAGCTGCTTGGGTGGTCTTCCCGTAAGAGCCTGCAACTAATTTTAACTCATATCGACCATGTGGCAACGTCTGTAGTACTCTGTATGGGCCTCGCATACCGGAATCCAACTTGCCCGTGGCTTGACTTGTCTTGCGAACAAATACCAGGTCGCCAGTTTTGAACACGCGAGGAGCTTTGCGCCGTTCATTAGTGCGACTGTCCTGACGGGAACGGTTCGCATCGAGAGACTCCGAAGCACGTTGTCGAGCAAGCTCACGCAGCGACTCCCGGTTCGGACTGGTTGCCTCTAAAGCTACATCACGCACCAGAGCTCGTATGACGGGTGTTGTTCCATCACCGCCAACTAACAAATTCATAGGTGAACATTTAATAGACTTTTGGATAGTAATATTCAAAGTGAGCTGCAATTTCCACAAAATAGCTGACCAACTTTCTTGTCTATAATTCGATTCAACGCGAATCATATTCATTACGGTACGGCAATAGCGCTCAACCTGACCATTACTTTGATGCATTTCAGGGGTTATAAAATGTATTTCACAACCCAACTTCTTAACCCAGTTGACAAATGCAGAGCTCTCGTACATGCGTCCACGGTCGGTAATTATTAACTTTGGCGAGCCAAAAAGAGAAATAGCAGCCTCAAAAGTTTTTCTTAGTTCGCTTGCATCTTGTCTACATATCGGATATAGAAGGCAGTACTTAGTAAATGCGTCAATAATTAGAACAACGTATCTGAATCCGTTTGAGGCCGGGAGAGGCCCCAGTACATCTGTATGAACGGTGTTGAAAGGAATGTCGGGTTTTCTCCATGACTCAATGGGTTGTAAGGGTTGACGAGGTACCTTTTTATGCGAAAGACATACAACACAGTGTTGTACATACTTCTTTACAAATTGTCTCAATTTAGGGAACCAGAAGTGTTTCAAGACTAAGTCGGTGGTCTTGTCAATCCCAATATGTTGATGTTCATCGTGGAAGACTCGTAATAAGCTAAGGCGGTGACCCTTGGGTACATAACATAATAAGCGTGATGGCTCTCCAACTACATCCATCTTATAATAGAGGATGTCATTGTGCCTGATGTATCTGGCAGAATCTAGTTCACCATCCTGAAGTTTTTGCACCAAACCCTGTGTTTCTTCATCAGCGGTCTGTGCTATTTGAGCCCAGTTTAGCGGCTTCCGTATTTCACAAATATTGACGGGGTTTCGGCTTAAATAATCGGCATGAGATAGTGCAGTCCCCTTACGATATTCCAAATCGAAGTCATAGTCTTGTAGGTACATCCACCACCGAGTAATCCTCGGCAGTAGATCCTTCTTGCGCTGAGTCAGTTTCAAAGCATTACAGTCAGTCACAACTTTGAATTTTATGCCTATTAGATAGTGTCTGAAATGTTGTAATGCCCTAACAACTGCCAGCGTTTCCAACTCGTACGAGTGGTAACGTGGTTCGGCCCCTTGAGTTACCTTACTGTAATAGGCTACAGGCTGCTTACGTCCACCGTCTCGAGTTTGTAGTAGCACCGCGCCGTACCCTAGTGCTGACGCATCAGTATGTACCTCAGTGGGGAAGGAAGGGTCAAAAATAGCCAACACTGGCTCATTCGTCAACCTTTTAATAATGTCCTTACGAACCTTTTCTTGCTCCTCACCCCATCGGAACAGTACACCCTTGCGGGTCAAGTTTGCTATACATGACGTTTTATGTGAATAGCCTGGGATATAGCGTCTAAAATATCCAGCCAGACCCAGAAATTGTCTGACTTCTTTAACATTGCTTGGCACCCTCGCATCGACCAGTGCTTGGACCTTCAATAGACTCGGCCTAACCTGACCATTACTGATCGTTCTACCTAGGTATTCTATTTCTGTAGTAAGAAACCTACACTTTTTCAAATTGATAGAAAACCCCGCACTAGTCAGGGTTCCTAGAACCTCCCGTAATGTCTGTAAACCTTCAGCGATAGTATGGCTAGGTAACAGTATGTCATCGATATATACGCAGGCTTTACCAGTATCGATGAATGTACGCAATGTGGTGGATATTATGCGCTGATATACTATTGGTGCGTTGGCGAGTCCATATGGCATTTTTAAATACTCGTAGTGGCCCTCTGGAGTTACGAATCCCGTGCGATGAATTGATTCCTCATCCAACTTTATCTGATGAAATCCAGTGGCCATATCTAAACTGGTAAAGTACCTGGCTTTCCCTAACCGGTCGATGTGATCATCTATTAGCGGTAAGGGGTAGTGATCCTTTACCGTATTCGCGTTCAAGGCGCGAAAGTCAACGCAAAGCCTATCGCTACCGTTCTTTTTCTTCACGAGCAATATAGGACTCGAAAAAGCTGATTCTGACTCTCTTATGATTTGTTTTTCAAGTAGATCCCGAATTATCTTTCTGACGCGCAGTTTCTCATCATAAGACATTTTGTATGGTCGGTAGACTACTGGAGTTTTATTATGTAACTTAATATGCATTGTACCTGTATGCACAGTGGTAGTAGCCGTACCCACAACGAGATACTTACCAAATTCGTTAATGATACGCATTAATTGTTCCCTTTCCGCACCTGACAGCGATGTATCTATCAGCACATTTATTGGATCAGACTTGATTTGCAAAACATTGTCACGTCGCGTAAGCCGTTGTACTCCACGCGTCCGGGTGTAAGTCACACCGTCTCTATTTAATACATCTGTACCGACAATCACTGGCGTGTTCATGCATTTATCCGAAACGATGTGAAAATCAATTTCGAGGGTAATATTTGAAAATTCTACTATTAACGTAGTACGAAACGATGTTTCTATGTCCTGACAACCTATACCTCGCAAAACTCGATATGAAGGTATCCGAGTGCATTGCAAATGTTTCGAAACTGATTCGGCAATCAAAGAAATAGTTGACCCACTGTCTATAAGAACGTCAACTGGCACACCCTGAATAACTGCCGTCGTAATATCGTTTTGTTTGTAAACGTCGACTGATTCGCGACAAAAGTTAACGTTCGACTTACCACGCGATTCGGCGCGCTGCTTTGTAAAACAATCTTCGACTTTATGGCCAACCTTTTTGCAAAAAGAACAGAGT